CCATTTTGGAAAGGGAAGTGCTGGGTTGCTCTAGGGGCAGGGGGGCTAGGCCAAGGTGTGGCTGATTTGCCTGAACAAAGGCTTGTGGCATTTCCCAGGAACTCCTGAGAAAACCTGCTCAAGTCCTAAATGTGTGGCATTTATGCATCTAAATGTTTACAGTCATCACTCTTTGTTTTTAATACACGCTTTTTATTTATTTATTTATTTTATTTTATTTTTTATTTTTATTTTTTCCCCTCCAGGTGAAAATCTGGACCCACGAGGAGGGTGCTGTGCTGTCATTCAAGGTGGAGATGCAGGTGAAGGTCCCATCCCACGTCGCCTTCTCCCTCTTGTCCGACTTCAGCCTCCGCCAGCGCTGGGACAGACATTTCCTGTGAGACCCTGCCCCTCCCTGGGCTCTGAGCCCCCTGACCACCCCTCTTCCCTGACACACACCCCCCTGATGTGCTGGCACTGGGCTGCTCCCTTAGCAAGAAAGTGTTGCAAGAATTTGACATCAAGTGTTCCCTGGTCAAAGCATGGGTTTTGGTGTTTTACTGTGGAAGTAAAATTTGGTTTGTGCTTAGTCTGGCTCCAAAATACAGAGTGCTCTGTCAAAAGAGAGGGGTAGGACAGAGGTCATCCTCCATTTAAATGAGCACAGTTCAAATCCTGGACATGTGTATGTTCAAAGTGACAAAAACCCAAAACAAGTAAAAAAAGGAAAAGTTAACTGTGGTGGATATATATTGTGCATGCTAGCTTTAAAAATCAAGAAAAACCTGGATTCTATCATGTTTGTGCTGTTGGGGACAATGATGCTCAGTTTCACTGTACAGTCAAAGTGAGGAATCAAGAAATGAGGTCCTTCAAAATGCATATTTTCACAAAAATAACGTTTGAAAGTCTGTATGATTTGGCACAGGTTTTGGAATGGCTCTAAAAGGTATTTGAGGTTCATTATTTACTTTTTATGGTGTAGAATAGTGATTAGAGACAGTTGGATTGAAATTATACTAATTTGATTTGGTGAAGCATTTTCAGTTAGCTATTACACCCTGGGAGATTTTTACCAGAGGGTGGAAGTGGAACCTTAGGGATATTTGAAAATCCAAACTCTACTGAATTTACAGCTTGTAACAAATGAAACCTAAAGAAATACTGTTGATGGGGTGTTGCAGGAAACCTTAATTTTTTCACTCTCTCTGCCTTGCTGTTGGAACATGAAAATCAGAGGTTGAGTGTCAGGGTGGAGCCTGTTTGTGCTGGGTTTGTTGGAGGAGGTGCTGTTGCACATGCCAGGGCCTGATGTCTGTGATAAATGTGTTCACAGGACATGCGAGCTCCTGCAGGCTGTGAGTGAGGAGGAGAAAATCTACCACGTCACCTCTGCCCCCATGACAGGCCACCAACCCAGAGATTTTGTGATTCTGGTGTCCCAAAGGCAGCCCTTCAGGCCACAGTGAGTATTTTATTAGGCTCTGATTTCAACTCTGAGCACTTGGGAGCCAAGCTCTGGAGTCCTGTGACCTTGATCTGTCTCCGGGTGATAAAGATGGCATTTCACGTTTTAAGGAGTGAGATTCCTTTGTTGATGCCTGAGTTTGTACAACCAGACTTGCTTTGCAATGTGAAGGTGCAGTGAGGTAAATCCAGATCATCATAAATTTTTAGCATGGTCTGGTATTGATTCTTTGACGGTGATGCTTTGGGAGTGGCCTACCAGGAGGGCAAATAGGCCAGAATTTCAAATGGGGAAATTGGTAAAAACTCATGTCCCAGAGAGCCTGCCAGTGGGCTGAAGCACCTAGCTGGGAGTTTGTTTCCTGTTTGTTTGAAGTGACTTTATACTCCTATTCCATGTAATTACAGAGTTTTTACTTAGTCAAGGAAGTGCTTGAAACCTCACACATTTATTGTACCTGTGAATTCTGCCAAGTCCCTTGCTCAGTTTAACACACCTGCTTTCTAAAGTTTTATTATTTTTTATTAGATTCCTTTTTGTTTTTACACAGTGAAACACAGGCAAATGGAACCTTTTGGTATATCTTACCCTTCTTTATTCTGTTTCTTTTCTCACATTCAGTAGTTCTTCAAGTTAACACTAAAAGGCAATATTCTGTACTGTGCTAGCTTTCCCCCTGCACGAGGGGGTTGAATGAATTTGGATACCTGGACTGTGGCCACACTGTGAAGCCTCTGGGTAAGGGTTGTTCCCTGATGCTGTAAACTTGGGCTGAGGAGAGCAGGGTGAATTAAAAAGAAAAGGTGGGGAATTGTTCTGTTTGCCACAGAGTCCTGAACTGGAGTCTGTGCTCCAGCCTGAGACTCAGCAGGGCCCAGGCTTTGAAGCAGGATCCTTGGGCACACCCGAGCTCCTCTGCCCTCCTGTGAAAATGACACGTTGTAGCCTGGTGACCGGTTTTAACAAGAGGAAGGGTGTGACGGCTGTCCCTGCCCTGCAGGGAGCCCTACACGGTGGCTGTGAGGTCGGTGACCCTCGGGACGGCGCCCCCGAGCCCGGAGTTCTGCAGGAGTGAAATCCTCTGCGCTGGGTTCCAGATCCACAGCAACAGCAGCAGCTCCTGCACCGTGAGTATCCCGTGCTGTGCCCCTGCCCTGTGCCCTTGTGCTGGGGCTGTTACCCCACCCAAGCTGACAGTCTGCAAAGGGAACAGAAAAATACCTCCAAAAAAAGCTCATCCTGGGTGTGTGGAGTCTGTCTTGCCCAGATTTGGCCAATCTGAGTGTTAGAAATGGGCTCTAAACCGAGCACAGGAGGATGCCCTGCCCCTCCAGAGTCCTTCACTGAGTCCTAAAATACACCTCTAGAGGATGTGCATTACACTGGTGCCTGGTGGTGTGCCATAATTAATTAGTTCAAATTAAATTCCTCGCTTGAACTTCCATATGGCCAGGAATCACACAATCTGACTCCCATCTCTGGACCCATGCCAATCTTCTTTGCCATGGCAAGGCTAAAACTTTTCCATTTAAGAAAACACTTTTCTGAAAACTTTAAGCAGCTCTTGGTGGCTGCAGTTCCTTTTTTCAGGCAACAGCTTTGTTCACAAAGCACACATATTTAACACATTGTGCACAGTGTTTCCTGCTGCACTGCTCTGTACATTTACCTGCAGATGCTGGAGGATGTGAGAGCAGCAAGGACACCCACATCACTGGAGTGCTGTGAAAAAGGCATGCCTTTTGCAAATTACTGCCTTCAGTTTCAGAAGCACTGTGTGCTTCTATTCACATCCATAAAAACTGTGGTACTCATCCAGGCTCTGCAAAAAAAAATGGCTAACTTGCAATCCATAGGCTCTTTTGTTTCATTTACTTTTGTTCAAACAGGTGTGTTACTTCAATCAAGTGACATCAGGAGTTATGCCTTACTTAGCTGCAAATCTTACTGGCTCATCAAAATCCATTGAAGACACTGCTTTGGAATGTATAAAGTTCTTGGAGCTGGAAGACAGCAAGTGCTGAAGTTAAAAACAGATTTCTGAAGGGACATCTGAAGATTACCAAGCAGTTCTGGCTTGAATTCCTGCAAGGGTGTCAGTCATTTCTCTGTAGGTTACTTGTTTCAGATCATGTAGTCAGTATTGGGCTTCAGCCTGAAAATACCTGGTACAAGCATTTTCTATCAAACCAAGCTTAGGCCTTAGGCTCTCAATTCAACCTTTAATTTAAAAAAGATTAAGGAACAGATTTTGCTTTTGATTGCATTAATGAATTTTATATAAATGGAGGCAGAACTTGGCTCAGTAGAGCTATAGTTCATAAGACTATTTCACCACTTTAATGTTACATTGAACAGAGAGACATCCAGGCAGTTTTAAAATACCATCCCTTGTAATCTGCAGAAACCAGTGCTACCAAGTAGCTTTGCCAGTGCTCTGACCTTGCCATGCACGTCCTTGCACAGCCATTATTTATAAATTGATTACAGCCCATGTAAAGGAGTGTTTGCTGATGTCTGTACCTCAGTGCCCCTCCGTTTATCTGTGACTGGATGGATTGTTGTTCCTGAGGTTACAGACTCACCACAGGTTTCATCACAGTATCTGGGGATGCAGGAGGCTGCCCTGCACTGCTGGTGGGTTTTCTCTTGGTGGCAGGGGAGGCACCGGGGGGAGCGCCGGGAGTGTCACCTCTCCAGTGTCACCTCTCCGGTGTCCCCTGTCGTGCGGCTCAGCTTGGCCCAGCTCTGCCTGTTGAGCCACTCCACCGGGCTGTGCCTCGCCAGGAGCGCAGGCAGAGACAGCTCCTGGCCTCTGACTCAGCAGCAGCCACCACACACCCACGTCTGGATCAGATTCCCTTCCCCTGCATCAAGTGCAGCACCTCATTCTGGGAGCACGGAGGCCACCAAGGTCGTGCTTGCCACCTGCCAGCTCGGGAGGGTCCGGCTCCCTCCCCGAGCCCTGCAGGTAATGGCAGAGCAGCCCTGGGTCCCTGTGCTGGTGAAGAGAGACCCCTAATGTTGGCTCTGGACACAGGCAGCGGGAAGACGAGCCCAGATGCTGCCTGCACCAGGCACTGTCAATTAATGCATTTACACCGTTGCAGGCAGCACCTGCACAGGTGCGTTCCAGCTTCCTGCAGACACAGCACACCCCACTGCCTGCCCAGCCCTCCCTGGGCAGCACTGCTACCACGGGGACAGGATGAGCCCCAAGGCTGCAAGAACACATTACAAAGCCAAGGAGACAGGAAATTATCTAAAAAGATGCTTTTTAAACAATATACTTAATTCTTAGAATAGAAAGGGAGGCACTTCTTAAGCTGGGATAAATGTCTGTTGCCAAAATGTCCGCAGTAAACTGATAGCTTTGAGTTTTTATCCAATACTTAATTAAAACTCCATAATTAATCCTTGGTTTCATGCACATGCACTCCTCTTCCCCATTTAAAAATGTGCTCAGATTAGTACAAACTGAACATACGCCCCCTAACTCAGTCTCCACAGCAGCACCAAGAAACCAAAATAAGACCTCTAACCACTGAAATTCTTTAGCAGCATTTTATTAAAAACAATTACCTGTACAAATATAAAATATCTCCACACAATTTCATTCCCCATATTTGTTTTTTGCTGCAAGAAAAGGGTGTGAGGGGAGCTCAGGATGCACTTCTCAGTAACGCTGCAGGAACTGTGTTTGGAGTTGGTTTCCTTATGTTTCCTTTTAATATCCATCAGTTTTTATAAGGCTGCAGTCTCTATTTAAAAAGAGTAAATCTGCCATGAAGCAGGCAGGTGCACTACAAAGAAAAGTTTACTCACCAGCTCACCAAGCTCACCAAGGCATGGAAACACTGCAGATTTTTGAGCATTTTCTTTGAAAAAGAAGTAAATAACCTAAGAAAGCTCGTCACTTGTTCTCCAATTCTTTAGGGGTGTGTTTCACCACAGGTTTCAGAGGAAGGGCTTGATTCTGTTAGTGAACAGACTCAAATGACCCCGTGTGCATGACCAATCAATGGCTGATAGTAACAAGCACTGCCATCAGGAACTGCACCCCGAGCTCAGCAGCCCACAGGGCTGATCTGTAACTTCAGCACGAGGTTGCTCAAGCTGGAACATACAGAAGAGTAAGTTCATTATCCCTACAAGGAAAAGGCAAATCCACACCAGAATCCAAAAAGAACCTTTAAAACACGCCCACAAATGCTTTAATAAAAATAGCCACTTGCTGTGTTCCTGTTGTTCCCAGCTTCACAGTGAGACAGGCCAGTTTGGGAGGCAAAGGGGGAAAATGAGGGGAGGAAAACACCCAGCAAGTCCTCTGCAGCCTGCTTGTTTTTCTGGATCTGCTCTCTGTCATCACCAATCTGGAGTGCAGCAGTGCAGGAGAGCTGATGGAGAGCCAGGAGTCCTTCAGAAAGTGACAACTTTGGGTCGCTTGGGCTGTGCTCTCTGCGGCGCCGGCGCGGCCGTGATGTCCTCCTGGTCCGCGCTCAGGCCGGGGGTCCAGCGCCCGACTGTCACCTGCTCTGCAGGGGCACAACACAGCAGTGCCAGGGCCAGCTCTGCCACCTGCACAGCCTGGGGGCTGCCCCAGCAGGGCAGAGAACCCAGCAGAGCAGAGAACCCAGCAGGGCAGAGAACCCAGCACTGGAGCAAACCCAGCGCTGCACACAGGGAATGCCACAGTACCCACATCTGCCTCTGGACACCACAGCTGGCCCAGCCTGCCTGAGGAAACTGGCAGCTCCTTTGCCAGCTCTCACCTGGCCTCCTGTACCTGAACATACTCTGCACAGTGCACACCTGATCTCAAAGAACATCACAATTCTTGTCAATGGTGTCACAGTTCCAATTAACTACGCTGCTTATAAACAGCAGTGCTAGTTTTGAAAGAAGTCCCTTTGGAAAACAAACAGCACTTACAGTCCTCATCATGGATGTTAAATTTACCAGAAAAAGGTGGAAAAAATCTAGTTACAGGCTTCTAAAACATCAGTCACCCAAGTGGGCACAGCCTCACTACTTGCAGATCAGTTTGGGGAAACTTCTGTCTTTTGGGTGTTATAAACTTGTCTCATACCAAGTCTGACCCATTCTAAAGTGGCAAAGCAACACACACCTAGAATCCTACATATGGTCCCAGACCTTAAAAATGTCATAGGATCAGATATAGAAAATGCCATAAATACTTCTTACATAAATTTCACCGAAGTGGCTAATTATTTACTGGCACGTTAACTAAGTATCATAGAAACAAAGTAGAAAAATGCAGAGGTATGTCACCACTCCTGTAAGAGGATCACTTCTCAAACCCTTGTCTGATACTTTGCCTCCTGTAGCACAGTGGGGGTTTGGCGAACCTAATTTAGTTTTTCCATCCAGATGGAAAGCCGAAGAACAGGTAAGAAAGCAGTTCCAATAGCTGTGAATCCAAAGCTGGAGATCTTTGTCCCTGTCCTGGGTGCCTGACACACCTGCCTGCACACAGCACCACCCTGCAGCTGGCATCGGGTTCAGCTCCAGCACTTCACACTGAAATCTGCAAAAAGCAGCAGCCACCTCTGCTGTACAGCTGCCAAACTGTGAACAGCAGCACAAATACAGGCCAAAAAAGCAAGGATTATTTCATATGGCCTTCAGATACACACAAGATTAACTTTCTTTAAAAAAAAATACAATTATCTTAGTTTCGCATTGCACCTTATTGCCTCCTCCACATCCTGCCCGAGTGTCCCAACAAAAGGTCACTTCTGCTGCTTCCAAGTTCTCTTCCCAAAGCCTTTTCCCTGCCCACAGCCATGCAGAGCAGGGCCCACACCCACCCCACACCCTCTGCAGCTCACCTGCGTTCTGCTTCTCCGGGCAGTCCTTCTTGAAGTGCTCCACAGAACCACAAAGTTTGCAGCCCCCACCTGTTCACACAGACAGTTGTTACTCATCTGAGGGGAAAAACCACCACAAAACACCCAGGAAAACACCCTTCCCATGTCTGTGAGGAATAGAGCTGTTTGGAGTCACACCGTTCAGTACAGCATCACACACCACAAATTCCAGCCACTGGGTATTTCTGATTTGCTGGAAGCTCTCTCTTTGAGAAACGGGCTGAATTCTGCTGAAATCCATACTCAAAGGAACTTTAAAAATTGACAGGGGCTCCTGAGGGAGGTAATCCAACTGCAGGTACTGTGATGTGAAATTCTATACACCACAAAATTCCACAATACAAACACTTGGCAGCAAGGTGATTTTTGTTACACTTTAACTGGGCTGCAGGATCACCTTCCGGAGTTTGCCATGACCCTACTTTGTGCTGGGAAACACCAGGAGACAGAATGCTGGCTGTTGGAGCCAACAGAGCAGTGAAACCTTCAGTGTGAGACCCCATTTCTCACTGAAGTTACTCAGACTGGAGATACTCTCCCTGTAGTACAACCTCCCAGAATCTTCAGCTACTGTGTGAGAACGTTCTTACCACCTCCTTGGGTGCACCTAAATACACACTGCACACATTCACACAGGATTGTGTTCCTTTGTGCATTTCCTGATACTGAGGCACGTGCAAAGTCCCACACTTTGCACCTCATCCTGACATTTAATATAAACCTACACATAAAAATAGAAATCCCCAGGTAATTATTTGACAATGAATTCCCCAGAATTACTCTGCTTTTACTGAAAGATAACGGGAATTCCTTTTAGCCACATTCTCATTCACCTGCAGTGTTACTTTTTTCTGCATCAGGTAAGAAGGACACAGAAATTTAATTTTACTAAATATAGTGAATCAGTACACTCACCTTCAGCATACAACCCCTTGGGGTTATCCGGACAGGACCTTGACAGATGCCCCATCTCACCACAGATGAAACATTTTGCATAGGGAAATGGCCCTGCAAAATCCCAAAGGGTTTATGGTCCACATCAAAACCTTTGTGAAGTCACAGTTCCAACACAGCAATGACAATATTTTAATCACTTCACGCTACAAATTACTGTCAGGTTCCTCATTACCATACTGCAAAAGTTAAATCTCTAGCAGACAAAGCTTCAGGGTCAGCAGTCAGACAATTCAGACCCAAGCACTTCACAACAGCACAAATTCCTGAGACCCACCAGCAGCTGGATCCACCTTGGCTCTGCATTTGCTGATGTCGTGCTCCGTGGATCCACAGCGGTAGCAGATCCCCGTCCCCATGTCTTGGCTCTCCAGCACTGCAGGACAATCAGCCACACCATGGCCAGGTTCTCTGCAGTGGAAACACACCTTGGAAGAGGAAAATCCAGTGATTCTGTGAGTGGCAATCCTGGCAAACCTGGAAATCCCAGCCTCACTGGGCCTAAAGAGTAAACGCAATCTTGTCCCCAGGAAAAAGCAGCCAGGATGAGACTTTGTGTTCTGCCATCTAACCACATTATTATGGCCACTTTTCTCCTTTAATCAGCAACACACAGTCTGATGAATCACACACAGAAATTATCTTAGTTTCACCCAGGAACCAAGAGGGGCTGGGGACTCCTCAGAGGGGCAGGGGGAACAGTGCTAAGCCAGGAGAGCCACGCTAAAGGCTACGACTGGGGCTGAAAGTCATCTTTTGTTCCAAACTTCTCATCTTCCATCTGAAGCACGCTGTGCCTGTGGCAGGGGAAGGCTGAGCTCTTGCTGAGCCCCACAGCAGCAGCACCACAAGGAGAGCCTCCCACATGGGGCTCTCTTTCAGCAACATTGTGGGAACGTGATTGGGAGTTGAAAGGGGAAATTTCAGGGGAAAATACAGTGGATGGGACCCCCTCTGCACAATCCAGGCAAGACTACCAGGAGGGTGGAGCAGGGCAGAGACCCCACAGCTTGCCCAAAATCCCTGCAGAAGAAGGGACCTGGTGGTACCTTGCAGCTGATCAGCCACACAGCAGCTGAAAGTCAAGGGGGATGGAGGAGGATGTTCTGGATCAGCAGCTGTGGTGAAATCCCTCTGTCTGGACTGACCACATCGCACCCCAGGGCTACCTCAGGTACTGCCCTGACTCACCCACTGCCACGGTACAGCCACCCCTAACAAAGACGTGTGACTGGAATCACCAAATCCCCATGTAAATGAAAACAAAACCGTATAAAAGTGAATTAGGAACGGGGAGAAGTTTGGGAAGACTCCATCGTAACCTGTGGGACCAGCTGAACCTATTGTATCCCAGAGGGCCCCAAGAGGTGAAGACTGTGCTCTGTGTGAGCCTCACTAGGAATTAGAACTTGTGTTTTGCTCTGAACAGATTGCTCTGGACACACTTTCGCAGTCAGAAGCTGCCACCGGCATCCCTCGAGCCTTAACCCCTCACATTTTATTACAAAAGGTGTAACTGCGCCCACTGGTCACACCCCCTAAACGTGAGGGGTTTGAGCAAAAAGGGAGGGTTCCTTCCTTTTTCCCTCCGGGGCTGCAGGGTAGGACTCACCATGGCGTTTCTCTTCCTGTCCTGCCTCCTCAGCCTCCTGCTCTCCCGCCGCCTGTCCTTCCTCCGCGCCTCCTCCTCCTCCTCCTCCCCAGCCCGCTGCTCGCCGCGGTGCTCCGCGAACCCGTTCACGTCCTGGTTCTCGTACTCCTTCTTCTTCCTCCTCCTCTTGGCTGCCGGCGGCGGCTCCGGCTCCCGGCCCGCCGCCAGCTGCTCCCAGGGCGTGGCGGACAGCGCCCGGGCCCCGGGCGGGGCGCTCCGCCGGGCCCAGCGGGTCATGGCCCGGCACCGGCACCGACACCGCTACAGACACTGCCCCCGGCAAAGGCTCCGGCCCCGGCACGGCCGGACCGCGCACGCTGATGACGGAAGGGAAGAGGAGGAGGAAGAGGAGGAGCGGGAGGCCCGGGGGCCGTGGGGAAGGACGGGATGGGGATGCCGGGGGAGGAGGTGCCTGAAGGGGCTGTGGGGACAGTCCCACCCCAGCCCCGGCAGGGCCAGCTCCCAGTGTCCCAGGAGCTCCCAGCCCCAATGTCCAGCCTGGCCTTGGGCACTGCCAGGGATCCAGGGGCAGCCCCAGCTGCTCTGGGCACCCTGTGCCAGGGCCTGCCCACCCTGCCAGGGAACAATTCCTGCCCAAGATCCCATCCAGCCCTGCCCTCTGCCACTGGCAGCCATTCCCTGGCTCCTGGCCCTGCAGCCCTTGGCAATTGTCTCTCTCCACCTTTCCTGCGGCTCCTTCGGGCCCTGCGAGGCCCCAGGGAGCCGAGGCCAAAGCTTCTCCTGTCCGGGCTGAGCAATGGCAGCTGTGGCAGCCTTTCCTGGCAGCAGAGCTGCTCCGTCCCTCTGCTCATCCTGGAGCCTCCTCTGGGCCGGCTCCAGCAGCTCCAGGTGCTCCCTGTGCCGGGCCCGGGCTGGGGCAGCTCTGCAGGTGGGGTCTCAGCTGAGGGGCAGAGGGGCACAATCCCCCCTGCCCTGCTGCCCACGCTGGGGCTCAGCCCAGCACAGCCCTTTGGGCTCCCAGGGCTCCTCCGGGGCTGCTCCTTCTGCCCAGCCCAGCCCAGGGTCTGGGATCCCGTCCCTCAGCAGCAGCAGCTCTGCAGGTGAGGTCTCGCCTGAGGGCTGACCTGAGCCTCGGGGACAGTCCCCGGGGCTGTGTTCCCGCAGGAGGCCACTCAGCAGCCTAAATAAATGTTTATGAGCCAAGTAATGCTTCCCCCGCCCCACCACGTCGGGCTGGTGCATCTTGTGCTTTCCGCATTTCCCCAGAGCCCCGGGACGGTCCCTGGTTGATGTTGTAAAGGTACATATGCATTATACACGCGCTGTGTAAAATATATACAGAATATTGTCCTTCCTCTAGGAGTTATCCCTAGCACTTGGGTCTCCCTGGAGGAATTGGCGGATTTTGCCGATTTCCCGGGTTTTGAGCCCGCTAGAGGGAGGTCTGCACAAAGCGTGTGTTGAACTGCGCCAGGCAGAACGAGCAGGGCTTGGACAGGAATTAGCGCTGACTGCAAATAAAAATAACTGATGAACGCTGTTTAAATCCCAGGAAAGAAAACCAGAAGGGACCAGTATGTCTTTTTAAAAATAAAAACACTCCCTTTGCTGGTGTATTTAGTTACAGCTCGGCCACAGCGTGGGATCCCAGTTGCTGCTGCAGCTTGCTCTGCTTTCTGCTTTGATGAAGCCCTAAATGTGCCGTCCTATCTTTTCCAGCCGAAATTCTATCTGTATGTGTGTCTAGGCAGGATCAGCCGTCCTTAACATCCAGCTTTGCCAGCAGTGGAAAAGGGTGTAGGACACCTTCCTGATAAATCATACAGCATTTACCTCAAATACCACTTATTTGGCAGAGGCCACACCAATTTTAATTTGCACTGGTTTGGGATTTGTTGCAAGTTGACATTACTGGGCCGGGAGCTCCCCTGTACCTGGGCACCAGGTGAGTTATGAGCACCAGTGCAAATAATTGCATCAATTTTTGCTTTTTTAAAAAAAAAATCATTTTTTTTTTCCTTAGAAACAGCGAATTGTATGAACACAGCATAGTGTTCATATGTTCAAAATCCTCATACCCCCAAAAGGAGGTTTTGCCTGCTGAAGGGGTATCAGAAGCTTTGGCTGTGCACACACACAACTGATGTTATCCTTGTTCACTCTTTTTTGCCTGTATGGTTTGGGTAGTTAATACTACTTGGCAGAGTGTCAGGGTGACTTTTTTTTTCCTGGTTATTTTAGTTTGAATGCAAGCCTGGGGAGAGAAAGAAAAAAATAGACCTTGTTCCCTCTTAAATGATGTTATAAATGTTATAAATGATGTCTGCGAAACTACAAGGCTCCTGTGCAGGAGGTTCACTTTGATTTATTCTCCATAAGATGAGCAGGTTGCTTAGCATTTACTGCTCTGCTTTCTTGTCAGTGTTAAATGATTATCTATGCTATATTGAATCTTAAATATTTTTGGATTCTGATGGCTCCAACCAGGGCAGCAACCCCTTCAGTGAGCCTGTTCAGCTGACCAGCACTGGATGTCATTTCCGCAGCTCACAGCTGTGATTCCTTCAGGATATTTAACAAGAGCTTAAATAAGTTGCTCCATCAACTTTTGTTGCTGGATCAACTCAGATATTGATTGCTTTGTATTTATTAAACGTCTAAGTGCCTGAATGAACCTTTGAAGGTTAAGGGCTGTGGTCAGTTATTTTATTTGGCTGTTTTACACTGCAAAGCTGCTGTTTGTTTTTCTTATATCAAAGTGACAATCTGAGAAACGTGGCTCGAGTAGGAGTGTTACACATGCACTGTCAGGATAGCACAAGAATTTTACCTGGTTTGATTTTTGGTGGCTGCCTGTTAAACAGAAATCACTGTTTTCTCACTGGGAAATGTACTTTTTTATTTTTTCAGAAACCCATAGTGAGGAAATGAATGAATTTCAACTTGATTTGCATAGCACTTCACTTAAGCTTGTGTCTTCAGATCACAAATTTGTAGTTTCTATGGTTGAAAGAGCAAAGGAAGAATGGGTTATCCTCCTGTGTTTGGATAAAATGGTCTTTTCTGCAGTGTTGGCTGTACTTGGAAAAACTGCTGCATTTCACAGAGCAGAGGAGAAAGAGCTGGCTGGAACTGAAGGCAGCAGCACAGGTACAGATTCCTCGGGCAGTGGGATCAGCAAAGGAGAGTGCTCTCATCTTTTCAGTATTACTAATTTCTTGTATTTCTCTCCGTGAAGAAAAGGGTAAATTTCTCATTTCTACAGGGGAAAAAAAAAAAGTAGAGATGCCAGTAAAGAGAGCTGAGACAGATATTTCTTAAGGGTGTACACTGAAAACTTACAGCATTTTCAAACCAGAATACACATAAAATGAGCTAAAAATTAACTGGCATAATTTATCAACTTCTTTTTCTGCTCTGCTGGGTTCACCTGAATTCCCTGAACAGTGTGTGGATATAAAAAAACTAAAAATACTTTCATTACCCTTGTTTACTGATAGACTTATTACTGTAATATGACTGATATTTTCTCATTAGGAGCCCAATATGTTCCTATAATAATTTAGGATGAATTAAAAATGTGGTATGTCATCAGCAGTAGGCTGGGCAGTAGGTGACTCCATGCCCTCTTGGAAGATTTGGCTTGGTAGGACTTCTGTATGCATTTTGGTGTTTCCCCCAGGCATTTTTGCAGTCTAAGTGACTGTTTAAGTCTTTAATCTTTTAATTAAACCTTAGGCTAAAGGCAAACTGTAAGAGGCACTGCAGGGGAAAGATGAGCATGCAGGTCTTCAATTGCATTGCAGCAAATCTTATTAGTAAAATAATTCTGTCTATAAATACTAGCTGTAACTCATTCCTCATGTTATCTGCTCCTCTTGGTTTTGATGTTTATGTCAGGTGTGCTCAGGTGTGCATTGGTCCTGCAGGAGTGACACAGTCATGAACCTGCAGAGCCTGTTGTCAGTTTTTGCTGGGACAGACAAGGATTTCAGGTGTGAAGTGTCACATGTGAGATAAGTTGTTGTAGCTAAGCACTTCACAGAATTTGTTTGGGTTAGGAGGGACCTGAGAGCCTCTCCATTCCCACCCCAGGCACGGCAGGGCCAGCTCCCAGTGTCCCAGGAGCTCCCAGCCCCAATGTCCAGCCTGGCCTTGGGCACTGCCAGGGATCCAGGGGCAGCCCCAGCTGCTCTGGGCACCCTGTGCCAGGGCCTGCCCACCCTGCCAGGGAACAATTCCTGCCCAAGATCCCATCTAAAGTGACCATTTTCTCTTGTTTTGTAATGGGAAATTCCTGCCCAGTTCCCACCCTGCATGAACTGCCTAATGGAGCACAGGTGGGTTTTGGCAGATTCGGGCTTAGATGAAGCTCGACCTGAGAGATTATTTCTGCTGATCCCTACTTGCTTTGTCAGGAGCATTAGAGAAGTGCTTGAGGCATGGCACATAGCTCCTGAGGCACTTAATCAAATAAATTTCAAAGATTTATAGAGAAACAGTGTCCATCAGGAAAGAGTTTTGCTTGGAAGAAAAGGATCTCGACAGTGCAGTACTTGTGGCGTGGGGACCATAAATATGAGAAACAAGAAGAAGCATTTTATGTCAAGAGTTAGTGCACTAACCCAGCTTTTCGGGTTTTGAACCTTTAATATTTTCTTGTTGAGCTGTTAATCTGTGTGCATTTCTTTCTTCGTGTGGGCACACAACGTTTGAGGTTGTTTGTTTCCTGCTGCACCATTCTCTGTCGTCGGGAGCAGTGCAGACACCTCCCAGCTGGCCCTGAAGGCACTGAGGGGCACTGACCCTGCTCCACTCAGAGGAGAATGGGCTCCAAGCAAAGAGAAAACTGTCCTGAGCATTGTCATGAGGGAGTAGGACTGAGCACAGATGTCCTGCATTGATTTAATAGGTAGGTCACTGCCCAAGTTTGATTTAAAACATTAATCAGTGATGTGAAGAATGAAAATATGTCATTCCTATGAAGCAGCTGACCTGCTCTTGCTGACCATTTCGAGGTCATGGAGAGAGAGAGAAAGGTCACGGGAGTGGAAAATGTAGGTGGTAACAAGCCTTTGCAAAATAATCCATGTGAGGAGGAGTATTTTGGTTGTGAAGGACATGCTTGGAAGCCAACAGTACAGAGAATGCCGCAGCTGGAGCAGAGCAGGGAGTGAGCTGTACCTGGGTGTCCCTATTTTGTGCAGACTTACAATTCCCTGTCTGCTCAGAGCACAGGATTGCTCTGGGTTATTTGCTCATCTCAGGCATTTTGC